TTATAATGTTTCTATACAAATTGTAGTACTGGTCAGTGATTAATTTCACATGGAATATTCAGTTCAGTACTTGAGTATTAATATTAAAATACTGGCCAGTGATTTATTACACATAGAATCCTTGGTTCAGTACTTCAGTACTAACATTGAAATACTCATCAGTAATTCAACACAAGTATTTATTACACAAGTATTTTTCACCTAATATTAAATGCTTTCTCATCAGAAATTTAATACTAAGTATTCAATACTCGTCCTGTATTAAATATTACTTTCATAAATTACTGACCAGTAATAAAATACTATGCAATACTTGGATCACAGTGATTCAAGTACTAATAAATACTTAATTTTAGTATTATTAATACACATTATTAATACAAAATAAGTATTTATTACTAACTAGCTAGTAATACTTTTTTGTAAGGGAATAACGTACAAATTACCCTAAACGAACTTCAAAAAATGATTCAAGATGTAATTGCGAATCATCGCGAATAGATAAGAACAACGACCGCTGGGAACTCGATGCCTACACCGACCGATCCACGAGCATAAGCTCAGGGGGGTCAGTGGACCGGCTGAGTCCACGACAGCGATGAAGACGCCGAAAGGCAAGTCAGGCCCACGACAACGCCAACGACCGCTGGGAACCTGATGCCCACACAGACCGACACACGATCACGAGCTCAGGGGGGTCAGTAGACCGGCTGAGTCCACGACAGCGACGAAGACGCCGGGAACCAAGTCAGGCCCACGACAGCGCCAACGACCGCTGGGAAACTGGTGCCTACACTGACCGACCCCAAATAATAAGATCGACAATCGATAGACTGTTTAAGAAGAGGGCGATAACGCGGAAAAAGAAAGGATCAAGAGAATTACGGGACTTACTACGTGATGAGTTCAAAACGTTGGAGTGGGTTTCTTCTCGAAATAGACGTTGGTGTCGTTGGTGGATGAGTCGGAGTGACTGATGTGCTGTTGGATCTTTTGCACAGACTCTAAAATGCGGAATCGTGACTCGAAAACGGAAAAGATCACGATTATAATGCCGAGATGTAGACTAAATCTTCAGAGGCTTGAAGAGACTGAGAAGTTTTGAGGGCGAGTGCCGCAATCTCGGGGTTTATATAAGAAAATGTAGGGAATGGAAGGGGTGGATTTCATGTGGGGTGTGTCTGGTTTTCGTTTAAAGGATTTCGGGTTGGCGGGAAATTTCTAATTTTTGTTTAACGGATTTCTTATTGGTTGAGATGTTCCTCACCCAAGAGGTAGATTCTTAAGTTTTCGCCTATCCTGGAAAGCTAGAGACGGTTATCGATTTTTGCGGTTTTCCATTGGTGAGCCTCCTCTTAAGGCCCCACTGTCTTATTGGGGGTATAACCCATCGGTTCTTTCCAGTGACGCATTTGTTTTTTGGCTATCGCCGATTTCTTTTTTATTGGGGTTCCTTACTTATCTCGCGACCCTGTTTTCATGTTGACAAACAATCCATACTTCTAAATTTTAAGTGCAGTTTTATTGCAAACAGAAACTTCCGCCACGTGCTCTTAAGATTTCTAAAAGCACGTATTAGGTTTCGTTTCTGTTTGTCGGAACATCGCACGGCCAGTTTTGAGTGAGTCGCGCGATATAATACAGATCCATCATCTCCCGTCTGGAGTTAAGGCTCCTTTCTGCGCGTCGTGTCGCCGGATTTATAGTTATGGGCCAGACGAGGTTGACGAGAGTCTGGTCACCATATCCCCCGTTTGTTAGTAATTTGTCATCTGAGGGGTTGCTTTTAGTTCCCCAAGCAAATAGGTAGTTTGGTCATAAAAAAAAGGAATGCGAGATCTAACCTCATGCCCCGATCGATAACCGTCCGTACTCGGCTTGTTTATCCTAATCTTAGGGCTATCTTAGGTGCATAAGAATTCCCGCGAAAAAGGGATATCGTGGAGTCCGCAGGACGTAACAATATTAAGTGATAAGATAGGTTCCCACAATAACGATCTTTCAGGTAAAATCTCACTCTATATGTATGTATGTATGTATGTATGTATGTATGCTTTATTCCTTTTCTTCACAGGGTTCGAAAGGCGTTTTTTCAAAGGAACGATCCCAAACCTTTTACATTGTATCTCCACTTCACTTATACACTTACATTACAACTGGCGTTTTTCAGGGACGTACCCAACCCTTTACAAACACCCTACTGAAAAAAATCACGTCACGAAATCACGTCATGAAATTACATCACGAAATCACGTAACAAAATTACGTAATTAATGACATAATTAATCACGTAACAAAATTACATAATTAATGACATAATTAATCACGTAACGGATTGTTCCAAATCGGTACGTGATTTTAAAAATCACGTAATTTAAAAAATTACATAATGCTGGGAAACACATTTTTTTTTTAATCTGGATAAAGTTATATAGGAACTACAAAGTTTGTTTAATTGCTTCTTCGTCGTAACTTATGCATGTAAAACATGATTTAAGCAAAATAAGTGGTTCTAAATAAAAAATCAATACTGTATATTAATTATATTGTCTATAATTTTATTTTTATGAGTCAACTTTTTAAGTATATAAGTGAGTGTAAAAGTGCATAAGTATAAGTATATAAGTGAGTATATCAAATATAATAATATAATAAAATAAATAGCATATATAACATAAACAACTTAGATATATGTTATGGTAACGTTAACAAGGTTAGCTTATTTTAACATTGGTAATATGGTAACACTAAACTTAATCACTATCCGATAATGATTCACTGGAATTTGAATCATTGCTACTTTATGAAGAACTTGATGAATTGGGCGATGTTGGACGTCAATGACGTTTTCTTTGTTTTTCTTCTTCTTCTGCAAAACATTTTTAACATTATTATTATTAAGGTGTTTTTAATTTTTTATTAGTAACTTTTAGAATATATTGTTTTCTAATTTTTTGTATTTATTTATTGAAATATTTTGTTTAAAAAATCTAGACTGTTAAGATCTAGCATGTTAATTAAAAATGTTTATTATTTTTTATAATCATCTATGCTAACACAATAATGTTTAAAAATATTAAAATTTTTTATTTAATTCAATATCTTATATTTTACATGTTGTGACGTTGCACCGGGTGCCCGTCACTGGGACCGGGCACGTAAACCCCCCCTCGAACCTTTATACGGCGCGCGTACCCGCTTGTCGTCGAGTTATCATGTTTTTCGTTTAGCTATTATAGGCCAGTCAATAAAGACACTAAAATTCGAAAATTTAACTTTAATTACAAAAGTTTTCAAATTTTGATGGAATATTGGGTGAGTTGAAATAACAATAAATCTCATTTTGCAACCATTTTCGAGGTCCGGAACATGTTAAATATATTGCAAAAAAATGTTAATTTATTATAACTTTGCGAAAAAAATTATAAAAGTGCTGCAAATTGATAGAATAACTTTTACAATTGCCCCGAACAGTTGTGCCAATTTGCAACCTTCTATGTTGCACGCAATATATATTTTTTTCATCAATGATGGAACAATTGTTTATTTGGTCGTAATTTTGTCAAAAAAATTGCAAAAGTTTTGCAAATTGGTTGCAAACGTTGAGATTATTTTTCGTCACAAGCTGTTAAGTTTGCAACCTCGGACAAGGTCCGCAACAATGAAAAATTAGCAACAATTATTATTTTGCACTTTTTACAAGCGTGAAAAAATTGCAAAAGTTTTGCAAATTTTACGGAGTGCTTCAAATGTCTTCCCTTATCCAAATATAAATTTGCAACCCTCTACTAGTTACGCAAATTATTACAACTTATTTGACTAAATACGTTATTTTATAAAAAATTTCAATGTTACGCGCCTCGAAATAGGTTGCAAATCTAATACATTGCGGAAAATATTACAATAGACATTGCTTTAAGTTTGCAGGACTTTTGCAATTTTTTTCGCAAAGTTATAATAAATTAACGTTTTTTGCAATGTTTAGCATGTTCCGGACCTCGGGGATGGTTGCAAAATGAGATTTATTGTTATTTCAACTCACCCAATATTACATCAAAATTTGAAAACTTTTGTAATTAAAGTGAATTGATTGTCTTTATTGACTGGCCTATTAGTTACAGGAGGAAGCGGTCGGGCGGTCCGATTAGGCCGGGTGGCGCCATCCGCCGGCGCGGCGAAGCGCCTCAAAATTGTAGGAGGCCGCGAAGCGGGCCCGCCACGATTGTCACTGTTGGGCCGATCTCGAGCGTGCGTGGACGTCCGGCGAGGAGTCCTGAGGGTGTATTAAGCGAGGGCGGCGGCCCTACAAGCCCATCAAGAAGGAAGGATCGAGGACCACGAGAGTATTGTAAACGACCTACAATCCCGAAAGTATGTAAGGTAACGGGGGCCAGCGGGGCGGAACGTCGAGTACCGTTTCACGTATCGTATTTCGTATTTGGAGATGTGCGTAGGATCGCTTCCCGACCTACGCACTAATGTCGTGAATCCCTCGGGATTAGTGCTTCAGTCATTTTTACGGGTCTGACATATCCCGCCCGCGGCTACCCCGTGAATAGAGTAAAAAGGGGGTTCTTTTCCGCTCGACTCGACAATCCGGTGTATGATTGCGTGTGATAGCGTGTCGGCGTACGACGTGGCGGCTTTGCCACGCGTCACGATCCTTGCGAGTGTTATGCGATTATGCGGATCGGCTCAACAGTCACCCTAATATTAGTTTTCGCGCTTCCGTTAATCCGAGTGTTTATTTTCGCGTTTCCGGTAGTCTTAGTGTTTCGTTAATCGTAAGTCTCGCGTCCACGGTGGCGTGAATCCGTCCGTGCGTGCATTCTGGGGCGTATCGGCACGTAGACCCGTTAATTACCACGCCCGGTGCTTTGAGTGTGAGGCGGCGGAGTAACGAGTCGGGGGTGTGCAGTTCAGATTATTCTATTTACAGTTTCGCGTTTTCGTTAGTCTTAGGGTTGCGCTCCTTCGGGTGGAGATATCACGCGCCCCGGAGTATATCGTGCGGAAGTATCACGCGCTCGCGGAGTGGACCGAGGAGCGAGAAGAATCGTACCCATTAGATTGCGTGTACTCTTTCGTTAGTTGCGATTGCGTGTATCCTTTCGTTTGCGTGTATTATTTCGTTCGTTGGCCTATATTATCACAATTCGTGTATGACTTAATATTAGTTCGCGCTTCCGTTAAGCTTGCTTACTGCGTTCTGCGTAGTTCATTGCGTGTATTATTTTGTCGGCGTATATTATTACTTTTCGCGTATTTCATCGCGTAGATTATTCCTTGCGTGTATTATTTTGTCGGCGTATATTATTACTTTTCGCGTATTTTATCGCGTAGATTATTCCTTGCGTGTATTGTTTCGTCGGCGTATATTATTACTTTTCGCGTATTTCCTCGCGTAGATTATTCCTTGCGTGTATTAGTTCGTCGGCGTAGATTATTACGTTTTGCGCATTTCATCGCGTAGATTATCTCTGGCGTGTATTACTTCGTCGGTGTATATTATTGCGCCTCGCGTACTTCATAGCGTAGATTGTTCCTTATTGCGAGTACAAGTTACCCGTACGTTTTTCCGGGAGTATTATTTCTGCATCCGAGTTTATTTATAACGCGCAGACCCTTCGAAAGACCTTACGTGGTCGATAGATTGCGATTGATCGCGGCGAATACTTCGCTCGCGTCCTGCAAGTTGTAACTCAATTATCAAGCTTTCTCTTATATTATATTTTGATTTACATGCTACTTGAGTGCTTTCTTTTGTGTTTATCTTCGCCTCACCACGGTCAAACCCCTCCGCCTTCGGCCTATGTAAGAACCACGACCCTCTACCGAAAATCCTGAGCAGTCGTTGCGATCGGCCAGAGCGGGTGTATCTTGACATATGAATTAAGAGTTATATCGATAATTAGAGTTTATGTCGGATCTATGTAGAGTTCATGTAGAGTACTTTTCGCGGGTTAGAGTAAACGGTGGTGTGGCCGTATCCACACCTGGCGCCAAAAGTAGTTTCGTATCGCTTTCGAGATCCGCTCTGCCACCCGATCAGAGATTTGCTACGCGATTCAGTCCCGCCTCACGGCCCGGGGAAAATAATACAGAGAATTAGCGTCGCAATGTAAACACAACTATATTACAAATTATTTTTTTAAGTATCTTTTTACTGTTAAAGAGTTCTTTAACTGTGTATAAAAAGTAATGAGAAAAATATCAATTATTAAAAGAAAAAGTACTATACTTTAAAGATTAATTCCATTAAGTTACTTGTTTTTATAAATTTTTATAAATATATCAATCTATAACACATATTTTTCATTAAAAAATACAAAAAAATATTACCTTTAAACGTATAAAAATTATTTGTCTATTGTTGTTTAAAAAGTATTGACAAGCAGATATGACGAGAATTCTTGAGTAGGTGAGCGATAGAAAAAGAGTTCTTTTTAAAAAAATTTCGTTTTTATTGTATGTAGTTTTTTTTTTAAATATGCCAACGTAAAACAAATTGATATGAACTAAAGAGTTTTTACGTGAATATAAACAAACAAATCAGTAATCAGTCCTAAAGATAGAATAGAGAATAAACTAAAAAAGAGTCAGATCCTACAAAACGAAATCAAAGTATCTAAATTACTGACTGAGAATGAAAATCCGAAACGTATTTGAATGTAATGCTGCTGACAAAAAAAAAGATAGAAAAATGAAAAAGAGGGCCCTTTGCATGAATGTCTATCAGATCGATTCTTGGGCTAGAATTTTAGGCCAGAGCCACAAGAACAAAATGCAGATCTCAGATCTGAAAACGAGAATGAACCTAGCAGAGGTCCTTGTACTTTGACGACCAATGTCGATCTTCAATATGGCGTCTTAAGATTCGGAATCTATCAAAGGCCCCGCTCATGGGATTAGATCTCTCGCCTCGATCTTCCCTCACGGACGTTAGTCGTTGCAGCTCTCCTTTTCCTGCTGATGAGTCCACTCCTTGGTCATCTGAATCTCGCTCGGTCAGAGTCCAAAACAACCTTTGCAGTTGTTAAGATGAATCCGAAAGAGGGGCAGAGAATCGACTCGTCCGAAAGATCGCAAGCAAATGCGGCCATGACACCTGAGCGCCCCCACTTTGTTCAGGACAAAGAGAAGAAGGAGGTGGGAGCGCTCAGGTGTCATGGCCGCAGTTGCATGCGATCTTTCGGACGAGTCGATTCTCTGCCCCTCTTTCGGATTCATCTTAACAACTGCAAAGATTTTGGACTCTGACCGAGCAAGATTCAGATGACCAAGGAGTGGACTCATCAGCAGGAAAAGGAGAGCTGCAACGACTAGCGTCCGTGAGAGAAGATCGAGGCGAGAGATCTAATATTGAAGATCGACATTAATCGTCAAAGTACAAAGGCCTCTGCTAGGTTCATTCTCGTTTTCAGATCTGAGATCTGCATTTTGTTCTTGTGGCTCTGGCCTAAAATTCTAGCCCAAGAACCGATCTGATAGACATTCATCCAGAAGGCCCCTTTTTTCATTTTTCTATCTTTCTTTTTTTCGTCAGCAGCATTACATTCAAATACGTTTCGGACTCTCATTCTCAGTCAGTAATTTAAATACTTTGAATTCGTCCTGTAAGATCTGACTCTTTTTAGTTTATTCTTTATTCTATCTTTAGGACTGATTACTGATTTGTTTGTTTATATTCACATGTAAAAACTCTTTAGTTCATATCAATTTGTTTTACGTTGGCATATTTTTAGAAAGAATTACATACAATAAAGACAAAATTTTCTTAAAAGGAACTCTCTTTCTATCGCTCACGTACTCAAGAATTCTCGTCATACCTGCTGTGTTTGTCAATACTTTTTAAACAACAATAGACAAATAATTTTTATATGTTTAAAGGTAATATTTTTTTTGTATTTTTTAATGGAAAATATGTGTTTATAGATTAATATATTCATAAAATTTTATAAAAACAAGTAATTTAATGGAATTAATCTTTAAAGTATAGTACTTTTTTTTTTAATATATAATATTTTTCTCATTGCTTTATACACAGTTAAAGAACTCTTTAACAGTAAAAAGATACTTAAAAAAATAGTTTGTAATATAGTTGTGTATAATGTGTACATGTAAAATATAAGATATTGAATTAAATAAAAAATTTTAATATTTTTAAACATTTGTTAGCATAGATAATTATAAAAAATAATATACATTTTTAATTAACATGCTAGATCTTAACAGTCTAAATTTTTTAAAACAAAGTCTTTCAACAAATAAATACAAAAAATTAGAAAACAATATATTCTAAAAGTTACTATTAAAAAATTAAAAACACCTTAATAATAATAATGTTAAAAATGTTTTTCAGAAGAAGAAGAAAAACAAAGAAAACGTCATTGACGCCCAACATCGCCCAATTCATCAAGTTCTTCACAAAGTAGCGATGATTCAAATTCCAGTGAATCATTATCGGATAGTGATTAAGTTTAGTGTTACCATATTACCAATGTTAAAATGAGTTAACCTTGTTAACGTTACCATAACATATATCTATGTTATATATGCTATTTATTTTATTATATTATTATATATTGATATACTCACTTATATACTTATACTTATGCACTTTTATACTCACTTATATACTTAAAAAGTTGACTCATAAAAATAAAATTATAGACAATATAATTAATATACAGTAATTGATTTTTTATTTAGAACCACTTATTTTGCTTAAATCATGTTTTACATGCATAAGTTACGACGAAGAAGCAATTAAACAAACTTTGTAGTTCCTATGTAACTTTATCCAGATTAAAAAAAAAATGTGTTTCCCAGCATTACGTAATTTTTTAAATTACGTGACTTTTAAAATCACGTACCGATTTGGAACAATCCGTTACGTGTTTAATTATGTCATTAATTACGTAATTTCGTTACGTGATTTTGTGATGTAATTTCATGACGTGATTTCGTGACGTGATTTTTTTCAGTAGGGCATGCACCTTTCTAACCCGACCTGACCATTACGGTCCTTCACACTCTTTTTTTTCCCTCCCCTCCACGCCCTCTACCCTTTTCCCTTTCTTTTCTAGCTGTCCCCTCCCCCGCTACCCCCGTCCTAACTCATCCCCCATTCCTCCCTCTCGTAGCTCCGTCTCCACTCTCTGGCGTCATCCTTTCCTTCCTCGCGTGACAGACCTTTTCCCTCGCTTCCTTCTCTTTACCCCCTTCCTTGATCCCCGAATCCTCCCCCCCCCTCACTTCTCCTCTCATTTCCCCTCGTCATCGTTCCATACAATCTCCCTCCCATCCACCCATATTCTCCTGTTTTCCACCCGCGTTTTTCTTCTCTTGTCTTTCCCTTCTCTTGTCTTCTCCAGCAACCTCGTCTTTCTCTCCTTCATGTACAGGTCCTCGTCCACCCCTATCCCCCACCTCTTCCTAATTACCCCATACCTTCCCAACAGCTCCGCTTTCTCCTTTTCATCCTCCAACTCCACTATCAGCATCTCTCTCCTTCTCTCCCCACTTCTTTCCCAGACCCTTCTAATTCTCGGCACTCTACCTAGCACCTTCTCTGCCACCCTTTCCATCATACCCTTCCTTTCTTCTGCGTCCCTCCCGTCTACCCCCTTCAGACCACGTTCCTCTTTTTTTTCTTTTTTTGCTCCCTCTCCTCCTCCAGCCTCTTTACTCTCTCCTTTAGGCTCCTTGACTTCTCGTTCTCTTCCTTCTCTTTTCCTTCCACCTCCTTCTGTGGCCCTTATCTTTTCTCCTCCGCCTCCTTCTGTGACCCTCTCTCTCTCTGTGACCTTCTTCTCATCTCCTCCTTCCACCACTCCGCCTCATTACTCTTTCCCTCTTCCGTCCTGCTTCCCGGCTCGCTTCTTTCACCCACGCTCTCCAGCCCTCTCTCCTCGGTACTCCCCGCTCCTTCTGCCCCCCTTCTCTTCTCTCTAGCACTTTTCTGATCCTCTCTAACTCCTCTGCGATCGTGCTCAGCACCCTCATCAGACCCTCCGACTCCTCCATCTCCCCGCTCTCCCCTCTGCCGCCTTCTCTTCACCTTTCTGCCTTCTTCTCAGCTGCGCCTCCTTCCCCTCTGCCGCCTTCTTTTCTCCCTCCTGCTTTATTCTCAACTGCGCCCCCTCTGCTTCCCCTCTCCAGTCTTTTGCTTCGTCCCTCCGCTCTCCTCTCTTCCCTCCGTCCACTTTTCTATCTCCCTTCACGTACTTCCTCCTCTTGTTCACTTTTCACCTTTGCCCGCTCCTTCTCTTCTTTTCTCCCGCTTCTATATCCTCTTTATTTGGCTTCTGCGTCTCGATCTCTCGTGCGTACTCTTCTCCCTGACAACAACACATGCGGGACCTCAAATCTCGCTCTATATATTCATTCTCTATTTACAATATGATTACATAAATTGATAAATTCTTTGATGTGTATGAATAAGTGGACGTGCGTAATTGTGTAATGTTTAATGTGGTGTGTGGTACTCGGGTCAGCAGGTCGACACGGTGTAGATTCCACGGTAGGAATATCCCAGGAGTGCTCGTATCGGTCGGAACGGGTAGGAGTCGGATGTGTGGTACTCGTGTCGGCAGGTCGATAAGGTGTAGCTTCCACGGCAGGAAACTCTCCACCTTGGAGATCGGGAACGGACTATCCGTCTTGGCCCCAGATACAGGAATTGGAACCGGAATCGGACTTGGAAAAGGCAGTGCCTTGGTCTCCACCGGATTCGGTGTTGCCCGACGGGCTGGGTAATGACGACCCCGGAAACCTTTCCGCGGCAGGGTGTCTGTCGACTCTTACCAAAGAAAGTTAACGCTTTGCAAAGCAGGTATAAACGAAGACCCCGGATGAGGAGCACACTTCGTAATCAAAAGGGTTATGGGCCGATATCACAGTCTCCGATTAACGTGATCCTCCAATTAAATGTAAGAATTGCCAATTGCAAAGCTGAAAACCCGTATTGCACTTTGTCAAGAGTGCAGAATACTGCAGAAGCCATTAACCTAAGCACACTGATCATCCCCTAATATTGAAAAATCGCATCTGGCACCCGGCATCACTACGCAGATTATTGTATCTGGAAATCTAGAAGGCTTGAGAATTGTTTGGAACATGAAGTACGAGAACGAGGTTAAAAAATAAAAGTGTGGTTAAGCGTGGTTGAACGTTGAACGTGATCGTATGCTATTCTTCGCAAGTTTTCGTGATCTACCTGAGTACGTAAAATTATTGATTTGAATTAAAAATATTACTTAATTATTAAGAGTATTTTACATAAATCATTCCTTGCAGAAAATGGATAAGAAAAAAAAATAATACGTGGCAAGAATTTTACCAACGCCGAAAAACATGAATTACTCAGTGAGAAGGCTGATGAATCGACGTCAATTCAACGTCGATTTATCGAAAACTCATTAACATTGAAATTGACATAAAAAATCAGCCCATTTCTAAGACATTAAACCACGAATTAAGTATTTCTTTACCATATACAAGTTTCCTATATACTGTCCCAGTGAAAACAGTCAAAATGATGTTAATATGACTCAACCGGTCTCTTCTTCCAGCTGAAAAGAGAATTATTCGTCCATCAGATCTCCCGGCTCTTCCTGTTTACACAGAGGATGATCTGAAAGGTATGGAGAGATTTTTGGAGGACGACTCCAATTTGTAAGCAATGGTAAGTTTAAGAATGTCTTGTATTGATTTTTCACGTGTAATATGGAGTCCCTCTAGCCAAACATATTCGAAAATAATGACTTTCTGTTTTTGTTATATTTGTTCTATACATGCTTAACATTCTACTTGTACTATTTCATATTTCTATGTCAGTGAACTGTAGATGTGATTAATTGTTTTATTTTTAGGTTCAGTACTTGGCTTCATTTTCCTTGAATAAAATTGAAGGAAAAGCAGCTGCTCAAGTTATGACAAAGTTGATATCTAATACGCTGGCCTGTTCCTACAATTTCAAGGGTACTGACAAAAGTGGAAAAAAGGGTTTTCAAAATCTGCATCTTTGGGAGGTAGTTCAAGGTATGCATGTGAAGGCTCTGGAAGATTATTGAATATTTGAATAGTGACATTTTTTATTAGCATGGAAAAGTAAAGTATCTCTACAATTTTCATCCATTGTTTATATACAATATGGGTGTAACTATATGGGAATTTAATATATATGTATAATATATATATTGAATAATTCACGTCTTGAAATATTA